TGCTCCTCCTGGTTTTCCACCCAAATGCATTTATGTTTAATCAAGTGATTCTCGCGATGATGATAGAAAACTAATATTGGAGATGAGAAATGTGAATCATAGACATGGTCAGCCTTCAATTGGACCTCAGTTGCAAAGTCCATCAACTTTGGCCGGTGATAGTGGAGCTATTCAAATGATGGAGTTGGTGGTTAAACCTGCAGAAAAGATTGTGGAAAGAGAGCATATGATGGAAAGATCAGCGGTGGTTGCAGATGATGCAAGTCAAAGTAGAACACAGATGATGATGACAGAAGATGCAAGTGAAATCAGAGAGAGGGCTACGGTTAATAATATGGTAAGCATTAACAGCAATAATAATCGTACACCTGAATTACCTGAATTACCGGAATTGGAAATCGAAGCTAGAATTAGCAGGTTCGAAAAAGTGGTTGCTCTGCTAAAAGCTGCAAAATTTGGCCACAGACCTACTTAAAAAACTGTACTGGTCCAGCTGATGGTAATCATAATAATGCAGTAGATTGAATTGGATTTTGTGATAACTGTTCTTTGTGATTCTATTAATGCGCTTCTTTAAACCTTGAACTTCTATTGATTGCTCCAAATTGATGTTTTTCATATTGTTTGCATTATTTCTTTTATCATTATTCATTATGTCATATTCTTATTCATAAATTTCTTTTTACATCATTAGAAATATATAAAAATTAAAATAGGTTGCATTATTGTTCATGAGAATTGCATTATGGTTCAAATAAACAAAGATGAGCATTCATCAGTAAATGCAAGCGATGATAATGAGCATGGAGCTGGTTATGACATTATAAAAAAGATATGCCATTTATTTTCTACCCAAGATTGACAAATGAACCTTCTACGCTACAAGTCATGAATTTTATGTAACCTGAGATAGAGGTATTAATTTTCTTAATGGCTGCATTACTGTAATTTGAGATTATTACGACGAACAAAAGTGTGTCGTCTATTCAGGTGTCATAGAAACTCAATCTCTTACGATGACAAAATAAGGTCGTAAAAGAATAAATATACATTGTCAAAGATTTTTTTCTACGTGTAACTTATTTATGGGAAGCTGGAACCGCCATAAAAGTGGTTGCTCTGCTAAAAGCAGCCAAATCCACCGGTTTACATAAAACAATGTAAAAGTCCAACTGACTGAAACCATCGCAATGCAGTAGATTGTTGCATATATTCTAGAATTGACTTTTGTGTTAAAGATTTTTGTGATTCTAGTAATGTGCTTGGTTGAACTTTGAACTTCTATTGGTTGTTCCAAATTGATGCTATGATGTATGTCATATTGTTTGCATTACAACTTTTGTCGTTTTCAATTACCTCATATTCTTATCCATAAATTTCTTTTTACCTCATTAGAATTATATAGAAATAAAAATAGGTAGCATTAATGTTCAAGAAAATTGCGGGATGGCTCAAATAGACAAAGATTGTCGTTCATCAGTAAAAGCAATAAATGATAATGAGCATAGAGATAAAAATGACTTTATAAAAAAGGTATGAAATATATTCTCTACCCAACATCGAAAAATGAACCTTTTACACTTTTCCCTGTTTTTCTAAGATTCAATTAGTGTACATCATCACATGATATATTAGTTCCGAGATCTGCAGCTTCCAAGTTTCTAATACTCACCTAATGTTTCAAGGAAATAAACGTTGCCTCCTTTTTTGTTTGTGCTTATGTATGCTATGATGATAGTTGCAGTCTCTTTAGTGCTTCAAATTCATATGTCCTGTGATTCTGTATGATACCGGTGATTGCATTTATTATGTGACACTATTCTTAAGCTTGTTCGACTGAAAACATGCAGCAATAACTACACAGTATGATAACGTGATTGAGTAAGCGAATGAGTTGCTCACAACAAAAAATGGATATACGTAACTAGCACCACTGATTCGCTTATATTCAAGGCTAAACGTATTAAGGACTAACACAGCATTTGTAGACCTGGGATATCCACTCGTGTTGGTGGGCTTTAAGCTGTCCGTGTTGTGTAGTCTAGCCTTAGGGATCAGTAACAGCTTTTGAATGTCTGAAGGAAAGAAAATAAGACAGTTTGGACACAATTAAGGAAAAAGTTCAATGCATTTTTTCTTCTTTATTCCATTTCTTCTCTCAAGTTGGAAAAAAGTTCAATGAACTGTTTTGAATAATATTTAGTAGGCTAGTTTTTCTTTATTGCTTGGTTTCTAACAGTATTTTGCCTTGAAATGTTTCTTGTTCTTTCTTAAAGCTGCTTCACTTATAATTGTACTTTGCTCTCGATTCTTTGTTCTGCAACAAAAATCTAATGCCACTCTTCTAGTTTAAGTCACAACATATGAATATAAACGCACACAAGCATGCCTACATGCATACGGAAATATTGATATATACTGTTTTTGCTATAACTAGAATTCATGTTTCTCATATCCTTCTTGGTTGAATTTTCCGATATTGTTTATGTACTGTTCCATTTAGATCTTGTTGATAGTATCTTGTTCCGTTAAATAAATTATTGTTTATGAAAACTCAATATCTAATGAAATGGCTAAGCTATGCAATTATGAACTTTTTATTTATTTTTTCAATTCCATATATTTATAATTTATATAGAACATGAGCCATTAAAGTTCTAAATATGATCTTGTTGATAGTATCAGGTCAGTACATACCTCCTTGTTCCACATTTTGTACCAAAATTATGTCTACTTTTGTGGGGACGATCAATTTGGGACTCGGGAATATTGTACCAAAATTACATATGGTTAGTAGTCTTTCTTTGACAGCTACTGAGAAAATTGAAACCCCCTTGGCTCTAATTCAAGCAAAAATTATCAATGCCATTAGAGGCAGACTTCTGTGCCTCAAAAATATAAGAAACTCTGCACATGGTGGTTTTCTTGTTGAGTACAAAGACGGGACCTGCTAGATGCTTGTTTTTTTTTTTTTCTTCGGTAAGTAAACTGCTAGGTGCTTGTTGAAATGAGCCGTTTGTCTAGCCAAACTGGTAGCAGCAGCGTGTGGACTGCACTATGTTTCCCCCGATGCTTTGATTCTCTAAGGTTAAATATGCTGGCCATGGTTAATTTGTTTGTAGCAGAGGCTTGCAGTTCAGTTTTTCGGTCAGTGATGTGTTTTCTGCATATCAGCTGCTCATTTCTTGTCTTAGCATATCTTTTTTTGTGTGTAGAGTGGTGCTGGTGTGGTGTTTTGGTGGTAGTTGTTCTGTCTTCCCTGTTAGTCAGCTTGCTGTATTGCTTCTTTGTCTTTGTTTAATGTTTTACTTTTGTAACGCTGGTGGTGTTTTTTACTTTTGTTTGTAGAGCTTGTCTCTCTGTTTTTTTTTTTTTTTTTTTTGGGTAATATTTTTTCATATCATTGTAATATTGCTTCTAGCAAAGCTAGGATACTCAACCCTTTTAAGGAGAGGGAAGATCATACCATCTGAACTAATGCTACAATTCGAAACCAAACTATCTCTTTAAGACTTTCCAACGTGGTTCTATCACAAATTATGGTTCCTATTTTATTTAGTTTCCTCACTTTTTTTTTTTTTTTTTTTGTTAGTCATATAATGTCAGTATTTAATTTTTGCAATTGTGGGAAGGATATACGAGACAATGATGCAATTCGGAGCCAAATTATCTCTTTTGACCTTAAACGTGGTTCTATCACAAAGTAAGAGAATTCCGCATCCTAATAGAATCGAAATTATTACATTATTTAAGACTACATGATCCGGCCAATCACAACCTGACACATACGCAAAAATCTGAATAAAACTGACACATTTATTTGCATGTCAGAGTTGTGATTAGTTGAGGTTCACTGACAGTTCTGAAATCTTCCAAATGACTGACGTAGGATTTCAAAGTATGATTTTTATGAATTAATTAATTTGCAAATAGTTTACTTTAGATATAAATTCTGTTAAACTAATCAAATAAGTTTTTAACTTAACTGTTTTTTTTTCACCCAAAAAATAAAAATATTTCTTTTTAATTACATGGAGAGCTGAAAAATAAAATAAATGCAATTAAGTCTATAATGATATGAAATAGGGTGTATTAAAAATAATTTTAGAAAAAATAAAAGTACCCTTAGAAATTGGGCTGTGTAACAAATATTCCAGTTATAAACAAAATTTGAACATCTCTCTCTGCATTGAGATTGGATTTACTATTGTCACTAAGAGAGAAAATTAGAATTTAAGGAAACTAATCTAAAAATTTCATTATTTATTAATTACCGCAAGTAGGGATAAAGGAACACATTATAGAAAGAAAAACGCTTTTACATCTACTTTCACATCTCCTTAATCCTAAATGACTCTGGTAAAGGAATGTCGGGAGTTGCTCATAGAATATTGAGTAACTAATTGCAGTTGAGAAATAAATCGTTCGGTTGGGAAGAATTCTCCGACCAGCCAAAACCCTCTACTTTTCATTACAAAACTAAAATAATGTAAAAAAAAAAATCAACTGATTGATTCTCTTCTTGTTCGACAAAATCCAGCTCCTCAAAGTTCGAAGGGTGCAAAATGAAAGAAAGGGAAATTGTAGGCTGGTTCATTGATATTCTTGATGTAGTATATGCCATCACACATACAATCATACTTAATTCGATAGAATTGTTTGATCTTAAAGGAAATCTTCTGTATTTTCGCACACTTGTTCTTTTACTTTTTTTTCCTTTTATTTTTATGTAGCAAATGTTCTTCGAAAGTTTAACTGAGCATGGAGATTAAAAAAAAAAAAAAAAATGTTTTGACTTTTTCTTTTTTAGTTGCAGGTAAATGGGATACTATAATTTTTTTTACATTTTAATGCACTTGGTATGAGGATGGATTTTGTACAATTTAATGGAGTTAGTATGAATGGATCGCCACACCCTTTTTACATGATTTTTTCATATATAATAAAGTAGCATACTTTTGTGGCGCTCACAGAAATGCTGACTGTAATTGATTTGTCAAAAAAAAATAGAGTAAATGGGATAGGGGAGGAAACTAATAAAAGGCAAACTAAAATGCTGATTGTAAGGTAGAATATTCACAACTGCCTCGAAAAAATAAGTAAAAGAGAGCAAAATAATTTCTGTAGGATCTGAATAAAAGTTGTTCTATTATCTTCCCCCACAAGCAGAGGCAGAAAGAGCTTTCTTCCCAGCGCCGGATTCATAGATAGTGTTCGTTATTTTGGCGGGTGGCCACTAACGAAGCACACATCTATCGACAATGTTTTCGACAGCAAGTGGACCCTAAAAATAGGGCAAAAATAACATGTTAAAATATAAAATTTAAATTAAAAATCCTAAAATATTATAAGAATAACCATTAAAATTTATTTTGAATTTCATCAATTGACTGAATTGTTGATGTAGATATGAACTTTTACGGTTCATTATACTTTGTTGTTTAAAATACTCTAATACTGTTTGAATCAAATTACTTCACTACCCCATTTCATTTCTTCAACAGACAAATTAACATAAACACTTCATCTCGCCTATTGGTTGTCTTGTTCTTGGGGGTGGTTGGTTTGTTTCAGATTTGAGGACTTCTTGGTGAGAAACGAGCTGGGTTTGGTTGAATTTGAGATTTTGAAGGTGGAATTGAGCTTCTTGATCTCGGTTTTGATAGTGGTGGGTGTTGAATTTGTAATGTTTTTTTTTTTTTGAATTGTGAATCCCTAATGGGTTTGATTAATTTGTGAATCTGTAATGTTTTTATATATAGTATATATATTTTGAATTGCGAATCTATAATGGGTTTTGTTTTACTTGTCCGTTCTCACTCCAAACTCATGGCTCCATTAATTTGTTGGAGAAGTCAAACCTCCTATTCGCTGCCGCCGTCACCACCACCACCAGTCTTAAGTCCCTCAATCACTACAAAGAACGCAACCTCAAGAGACCATCTCCGCCACCGCCATCGGTGAAAAAATCTGTCGATCCACCACCACCATAAATCAAATTTGTCCACGGGATTTTCTGGGCCATAAGACGGAGACAAGTAATTTGGGGTAGTGAAGTAATTTGATTCAAACAGGGGTATTTTAGATAACAAAATATAATGAACAGTAAAAGTTCATTTCGACATAGCAATTCAATCAACCTCATTTTTTGAAATTTCAAGACCTTGACTACATGAAATGGTTAATATGGCTGCATAAGTTCACGTATGTGTAAAAATCCCTAAAAATCACAGGCATACTAGGTATTCCCCTTCCATTTAATGAAATTAATCAAAAAAATTTCTAAAGTTGAATTATGGTAAATTTCAACCAATCTATTTTGAAATCTTAGGATTGTTTAATAACTCAATTAAGTCTAATAAAACCTAAAAAATCTAATTGTATGCAATGATACAATTTAAATAACACTTGGAAAATGGTTTTTACTCAAAAAGGGTTAAAATTTTCAATCAAATGAACTTATCACTCTATGCAAAGCAAGCATTAAAACTTTTATTTGCATGGACAAATATTACCCCTTTGCTTTTTAGGCAAAAGAGGTTCGTAAGAGTCTATCATAAGGGGTTTTTCAGTCACCTTTTCTTTTCATCTAACATGAAAGTGCAAAAGAATGATTCACTAAAACCTTGAATTATATATATGTGTGTGTGTGTTTTGTGTATTACAATCATGCGTAAGAGGCAGTTACAATTTGCTCCCTCGAAGAAGTTAAAAAAGATCATTTTGGAGATTCGAAGAAGTTAAAAAAGATCATTTTGGAGATTTAGATAAAAACATTCAGCTGTAATTGCAATGAATGTTATCATCACCACCTTTATTTACTCAAATAAAAAGAGTAGTTCATTGATTTCATAAATAACATCAGTTTTAACCTGCCTTTTCATACAGATGAGCAGTTATTCAAAGTTGAGATGACTAATACGAAGGTAAGAATGTCAAAATGTTCGGATTAACTTACGTTTTCGTATAGGACTTCCCTTGAGCTTCATACAAGTATGAAACAGCTTTAGAACAACTTTCAGGCTTCTTAAAGTCATGATCACGCCGCACCAAGGGAAGCAAAGTGGCTTAGTAAGGAACAGGAATTCGGACGGTGGGTGGGCCGGATTTCATGTCCTCGACAATGAGATTTAAGAGTGCCTGAGTCACAGGACCTTCTTTGCCTACAAAGGAACAAGTATTGCAAATTATCTACAAACGGTCATATATTCACGTTATTTTCACACTACCACGAATGTAAGACAAAAGCATGATCATGGAAATGAGAAAAACAAGAAATCAAGAATAAGTTTAGAAACAAGTTAAAGAAAGAATACTTACTGAGGAACAAAAAAAAAAAAAAAAGACTTAGATGGTCACACATATTGTTTAGATGCAACTCAAGGGTGGAAACATGAATGCAGCAAGCCTAATGTATTTCCTACATTTCTGATCATGGATAGGCACTTAAGGTTTAGGGTTTTTGGTTTAAGGGATTTTTTTTCCAAAATTTGCTTCACTATTTCCCCAAGTTATAAAGTTGGAGTGAGCTTTAATCTTTTATTAGAAGACCGTACCCCCCAAATTTACCAATAAGGACTCTTCTAGCATGTGATTTTAACACATTCACCAAACTTAAATAAATACAATAGGAGGTTCTGAGTTCCAACACTCTGTCTCTTCCTCTAGACCTGACAAAAAAAATAAATATTATTCACACTAGATGCAGGATCCTGTGGCTTTTACAGAAAATGTTTTCTGTCCATAACTTACAAATTCTAACAGCCTATGAAAGCTTGTCTGCTACTAATATATGGCAGAATTTTGTTTTCCGTAAAACATCGCACCAATTAATGCAAAAAAATTATGCACTGAAAACCAAATGCTTAAACATGAGAAGGCTTTCCTATGTCGTCCTCACCATCCTTGCCTTTGTCCCATAGAAATGGAGTCAGTGATATAGGAAATCTATTTCTCCATTCTTTTCTATTACGAGCCAATTCTCCTTTTATATTAAAAAATTTAAAGTCATTTCTAACTTCTTCACAGTCCAGAGTGAGCTTGTGCATGTATTTTAAGAAAATCCTAACAGTTATATAATAAACTAATTTATTCATTTGGCATAAAGCATGTCTCATGCACTTCTATATACTGATTCAATAGTCTTGTAAGTTCCATAATAATATCAAATGTATTTATTAGCAGGCATATATATATATATATATATATATATATATTAAACATACTATTTCGAGGGATGCATAACGGATTGCAGAGAAGTTCTTACCATCCCCAATAACCTGCTCATCCCACTGTACAACTGAATGAACAAGAACTCCACTGCCAATCAACATCATCTCATCCGCCTTTTTCCCTTCATCCACAGTCACATTTCCGACTCTTATTCCCCGAAGCTTCCCCTCCTTCACCAGGCTCTCCGCAAGAATCAAAACTCTCTTAGCTGTACACCCACTAAGAATTTTATCAAAATGGGGCATCAGAAGTTCCTTCTCCTTTGTAACAAAAGCCACATTCATGTTAGGCCCTTCAGCAATGAACCCATCACCGTCCAACCAAATCGCTGCATACCCACCATTTTCTTCAGCTTCCATCTTTGAGAGCACATTTGGAAGGTAATTCACACTCTTCATGGCAGCAAATTGTGGAGGCTTTATTGGGATTGATGAAGTTACTACTTTGACCCCCTTTTGATTGGATGCTGATTGATCTTTGATGACAATAGCATAAAGAGCTGGTTGATGACAGCCAGATGGAGATAGTTGGAAATCACCAGGTCCTGCTGAAAGCCAGTATCTTAGTGATCCTTTTTTACACTTGGAAACACTCACGGTTTTTATGAGTATTCTTCTTATGCTTTCCCTACCAAAAGGGATTCCTATTTTGGCCATGGTTGCAGACCTTAGGAAGCGATCAAGGTGTTGGTCCAACTCGTAGAGATATCTGGGATGTCCAGGGCATAGAAAAGAGTGTTCATTTAGTAATTGGCCTGAAAAGCAGTAATCTGATACCGTTTCCTGTTTCTTGTCTTTAAAAAAGGAAAAGCAATCTAAGGAAATACAAAACTAACTTGTCTAGCAGCTAGAAAATTAATTATCTTGGATGCTCTCAAGTGTAGTTTCCTTGGGTTCTTTGTGGTTTTGCAACATTAAGTTCCCTATTGTCTCTCAGTGATACATGCTTTAAAACACACTGTAATAGAGAATCAGACTTTATCAGAAAACTTTGTGAAATTGAAGAAAAAGAGATAAAAAATAATAAAGAAAAATGCAGCTTGAACTTCAGTCGTTACATGAGTTGCAAGCCCAGTAAAAGGAGCACTAGTTTGCTTTGAAAAAGTCAATTTTAAATAAATTTAATTCTATCTAATTTGACAAGAATTTAGGAAATTTTAGATAGGTACTATTCTATTTCAGTATATCATTCAAGTCTTTATCTCATTAGGTTTGCTAACAGAGCTATTTTCTAATGCTATGGACCAAAGAAGCCCATTGATTGCTTCATGAAGTATTGGTATACATCTTTTTCCTTACTTTCTTTTATTTATTTATTCATTTATTTATTTGGGTAGGTAAAATATGCACACACACACCCACTATTACCCCTACGGGGACTTGAATCCTCAACCTCCCATATAAGAGGAGGAGGAGATACTACTTGAGCTAAAGGTTCGGTGCTATTGGTAAACATATTTTCTCAAGAAGAGGCATCCGTAAAGTATAATTATATCTACGATAAATAAGATTTGAAACTTTTACCAAATGAATTCTTTCAACATATCAAAATAGAAATCTGTTTCTATCTATTAAAACCATCATATGAATCCGAAACACCAGCATAGATATTAACATTATGCCACCCAAAAATGTAGTTTTAATATTCAAATAAAATGGATAGCCTTTTTTATGAGGCCAAGAAATCACTAACCCGTCCATAATTGCGGCAGTATCGAAAACACCATGCCCTCTATGGACCATGTGGTCATCCATGGGGATCAACATGGCCGCGGGATCCGTTGTGATTCCACCAAAACTGCTGGAATACATAGCCAAAAAACACTGCTTGCTTTTGTAGCTTTCTCGACATTTTCTCAACCTTTCAATAGCCTTAATTAGAATACAAACAACACAGTATCAACAAATTTATCATTAACTCAGGACTTCCATTGATTTCTAAAGCATAACACTTAACAAAGCAAGTAGTCATTTAATACATAAACACTAAATTAAATAGAAGCATTCAATATATGGTTATTAATGGTCATTTTGTATTGTGGCCCGCAAAAAGTCCAATGAACCTTTTTAGATTTGTTTTCAAATCTAATAAAAAAAAGTGTTAATTAATATTGTAATCCTTGATACAACAAATTAGTACTCTATTCATATATATACACACACACACACATATATTATTTGTTGAATTAAAGAGAGAGAAAAAACCTCATTTATCGGTTTTAAAATTGTTTTTCTCTCCATTTTTAATTCTCATATCAATTATAAATATTCTCTTAAGAAAATACACTAGAAATGCATTAAAAGAAAATTCGTTATAATTATTCTATTTTATTTTTAAATTTTAGTTTGATATTAGTAATTTGGCCCCAAATGAATACTTCTGGCTCCGCCCCTGAATCAACATGGAAGCAGGTATTAAAGCATATGTGGTGTTTTTATAAACAAATACACATATATGTAGATATTTATACATTTGTGCATATATATATATATAGAGAGAGAGAGAGAGAGAGAGAGACAGAGAGAATGAACCTCTGAGCAAGTCAAGAGTGGGAGATCACATATCTGACTAGAATCTGCCAAACCAAAGTTTCATTTAGTTAAATAAATAAAAATAAAAATAAAAACCAAAATCGACAGCCCAATGAAAACAAAATAAAATAAAAATATCATTTTGATCATATTGTTCTGCATATTAACCAAAAACCAAACAACTAAATGAAAATATACAAATATATATATATACACACACACACACACACTTATGGCTAAAGATCAAACAGAGTAAAGCAAACCAATCATCCAAAAAAATAGTGAAAAGGGGTCGACTATTAATCAGCATGATCAAAATATTTGAAAACTAACCGACCAAAGCTTCAGTTTCATTTGAACTTTTGACAATCCATTTGTTGTTTCTCAAAGATCGTCCAACGAAACCAATTCGAAAACTCGGAGACCCAAGTCCTGAAAATGAGAGATTTTGCTGAACAACATGTGAATTGGGTGGGCGATCACTGAAATTCGAGGGAAATTTTGAGGTTTCTGAGATGGGTTTTGGGAGAGATGAGAGAGAAGTCATCATCGATGAAAACACAGGGTTCCTTGAAACAATGAGATTCAATTTTTTTATTTTATTTTCGGGAAGCTCAATGAAGAAGGTTCACTTTGCGTTTTTTTAATCAAATTGCACATAAGATTCGAAGGTCGAAACAGGTCAAAACAAAAGAGAACAGGACTTGTAAAAAACAGTTTAGAACATTTCGTTGTAAGGGCTGTTTGTATCGTTTTAGAAAGTAGTTTTTTATTTATTTTTTTTATCTGTTTTTTTTTTTTTTTTGGAAAATTCACCAACCAAGTTATGTAGCCTTGTAGGATATCTTTTTTTTATTTTTTTTTATTTTGTGCCGTGACACAAAATAAATAGATTAACCAAATTATTGAAAATAAAACTGTTTTCTGGAGAAAAAAAAATGAAAGAATTTCAGCTTAGAAACTCTTTTACTTGAAAATAATTTTTTTTTTAATACGAATGCTTTTCAAAATAGCATTATTCTCCTTGAATATACTTTAGAAATAAAAAACAAGCTGAAAATGGGAAAATAAAAAATTGCGAATAAATTGTTTAATATAGTTATAATAAATGTTTATTAAAAACTATTGTTATGGTTTCCTTTCTTTTCTTCTTTCTCTTGTACAGCCAAACATAGCCTAAAGGTTCACGATTAATGAGTACATTGAAAAAAACAGATTCCTCGTCAGAATGCATTAGCCTTGCTTCTTTTACTTGTTGGACAACGTGGTAGTGTCTTCTTGGATTGTGGTGGGACCATATATAATTCCTATAGAATTAGATCCAGACAATAAACCGAGCTATAAGATCATCTTTGTTTAAAGAGTAAGAAATTATGACAAATTAAATAATAATGCTCAGCCTTTCATGTAACCAAAAAAAAAAATTGCCTTTCTAGTATTAGTTTCTTTAATATTGGTTCTAAAATTGATATGGTACATCACATTTTTTTTTAAAAAAAAATTTAAAACTAATTTGGTACATCAGTTGAGATCCTTCAATCAGTTTTGTATTGCGACGGCTATTTGATAATAAAATGTCATTTGAAATAATAGCTGTACTCAAAAGGGGTTAAAATTTTCAATCAAATGAACTTATCACTTTATGCGGGACACGCATTAAAACTTTAATTAGTTTGAGGCTCACACTCTCACAATCATTTTTTCCCTCCGAGAACTTGAACAGTTGATTTTCTTCTTTGAATTGAGAAAGTACCACTAAGATAAAGCCCTCGGTAATCATTTTTTCCCTACGAAAACTTGAACTGTTGATTTCCCACTTTAGATTGAGAAAGTACCACTGGGATAAAGCCCTCGGTCACTTCTCTACTTTCATGTTATCCAACAGATTAGAATGCGAATAGATGCATGCGTGCACTCGTGTGTACCCTTGTTCAATAGATTAAGGTTCAAAATTATGCATCTTTTCATGTAACATGGAAGCTCAAAAAATGATTCACTAAAACCTCAAATTATAAATGTATGTGCTTTTTCTAATAATAATCTTGAGTATGATTGCCTGCAAAACAGAGTAGAAAAGGATAAGAATGTATTCAATCCACTCTTGAGAGCAACCTGCACCAACATTAGGTTAAATTTCTTCCCCTTTTTTTTTCCCACTGTCCTAGGTGCAATGAAATGATGCCTAAACCATGTTTTTAGTAACATATGCTCATTTTGGAGATTTTGAGAAAAGCATTCAGTTGTAATTGCAATGAATGTCATCATCACCTTCTTTCTTTCACTCAAATAAAACGGTTAGTAGTTCATTGATTTCATAAAAAAACATCAGTTTTAACCTGCCTTTTCATACAGATTCGCAGTTTTTTACAAACCCGAGATGACTAACAACAAGGTAAGAATGTTACAATGATCAGATTAACTTACATTTTTCGGTTACGGAACTCCCTTGAGCTCCTAAGCATACAAGTATGGAACAGCTTTAGATCAACTTCCAGGCTTCTTAAAGTCCTGATCACACCACACCAAGGGAAGTAAGTGGCTTAGTAAGGAACAGGAATTCGAACGGTCGGTGGGCCAGATTTCCTATCCTCAACAATGAGATTTAAGAGAGCCCGAGTCACAGGACCTTCTTTGCCTAAAAAGGAACAAGCATTGCAAATTATCTACAAGCAGGTCATACATTCACATTATTTCTACAGTCCCAACACTATCAACATGTAAGACAGATCATGGAATTGAGAAAAACAAGAAATCTAGGATAAGTTTAGAAACAACTTTGAATAGCCATATAATGATCACAAACATATTGTTTAGATGCATCTCAAACGTGGAAAGGTGAAAGGTGATTATATAGTGCAAAGACACGAAAACACGAATTCAGCAAGCCCAATACAATTTCCGATAGTGGATAGGCACTTAGGGTTTAGGGTTCAAGGCTTGAGGTTTAAGGTTTTTCATTTTTTTCTATTTTCTTTCTTTTTTTCTTTTTCTTTTTTTCAAATTTGCTTCAATATATCTCACTTATGAAGTTGAAGTGAGCTTTAAAAATCATACAAAACATTTATTACAGTATCCCCTAAATTTACCAATAAGCACTCTATTATCATGTGATTTTAACACATTCGCCAAACACAAATAAATACAATAGGAGGTTCCGACACTGTGTTGCTTCCCCTCAACAGCACATGATGAGAGGCAAAAAATAAAGTTCTATCCACACTAGATGCAGGATCCTGTGACTTATAATGGAAAACGCCTTATGTCCATAACTTTGAAGTTCTAACGGTCCAAGAAAGATTGTCAGATACTAAAATATGGCAGAATTTTGTTTTCAGAAAAATATTGTACCAATTATACCTCATTGTGCAATTAATGCAAAAAACGCATGCAGTGAAACCAGACCCTTAAACAAGAGCAGGCTTGCCTTGCCTTGGTCCCATAGAAATAGGGTTGGCCATATGAAATCTATTTCTCTATTCTTTTCTATTACGAGCCAATTCTCCTATTATATTCAATTTTTGGAAGTCATTTCTAATTTCTTCATAGTTCACGGTGAGTGTTTCAAAAAAATCTCAACCGTTCAATCAGAAATCAAAATTTTCAATTTGCATAAACCATGTTTCATGCATTTCAATTGATTCATGAGTCTTGTAAGCTCCATAATAATGTCAAACAGATCAAATGCATAATGGATTGCAGAGTTCTTACCATCGCCAATAACCTGCTCATTCCACTGCACAACTGAACGGACAAGAACACTGCTGCAAATCAACATCATTTCATCCGCCTTTTTCCCTTCATCCACAGTCACATTTCCTACTCTTATTCCCCGAAGCTTCCCCTCCCTCACTAGACCCTCTGCAAGAATCAAAACTCTCCTAGCTGTACACCCACCGAGAATTTTGTCAAAATGGGGCATCAGAAGTTACTTCTCCTTCGTAACAAAAGCCATATTCATGTTAGGCCCTTCAGCAATGAATCCATCACTGTCCAACCAAATCGCTGCATACCCATCATTATCTTCAGCTTCCATCTTTGAGAGCACATTTGGAAGGTAATTCACACTCTTCATGACAGCAAATTGTGGAGGTTTTATTGGGATTGATGAAGTTACTACTTTGACACCCTTTTGATTGGGTGGTGATTGATCTTGGATGACAATAGCGTAAAGAGCTGGTCGATGACAACCAGATGGAGATAGTTGGAGATCACCAGGTCCTGCCGAAAGCCAGTATCTTAGTGATCCTTTTCTACACTTGGAAACGCTCACAGTTTGTATGAGTATTCTTCTTATGCTTTCCCTACCAAAAGGGATTCCTATTCTGGCCATGGTTGCTGACCTTAGGAAACGATCAAGGTGTTGGTCCAACTCGTAGAGATATCTGGGATGCCAAGGACATAGAAAAGAGTGTGCTTTTAGTAATTGACCTGCAAAGCAGTAATCCTATACTGATTCCTGTTTCTTGTCTAAAATAAGTAATGTTAGGAAATAAAAGCCTAAATTTTCCAGTAGCAAAACAATTAATTAACTCGGATTCTCTCAAGTTCAGTTACCATGGGCTCTTGGTTGTTTTGCAACATTAAGTTCCCTTTGTCTCTCACCCTCTCTATAATGTGCTTTTAAACATAACAGATAATCGGAGTTTAACAGGAAACTTTATGAAGTTGAAGAAAAATAAAAATTGAAAAGAATAAAAGAAAAGGCAGTTTGAGCTTCAGTTGTTACATGAGTTGCAATGAAAAAAGTTAAAAGCTCAAAGTAAACGGAGCACTAGTTTTCCGAGACAGTGCCAAATTTAAATAAATTAAAGTCTGCATAATTTCACTAGAATTTAGGAAATTTTAGATGACACTATTCTATTTCAGTATATTACTCAAGTCTTTATCTCGTTAAATTTGCTAACCGAGCTATTCTCCTAATGCTATGGACCAAAGAAGCTCATTGAACACTTCATGAAGTTGGTATACATCTTCACACACACCCATTATTACCCCTACGGGGACTTGAACCCTCGACCTCCCATTTAAGAGGAGAAGGAGATACTTTTCGAGCTAAAGATGTGGTGGTATTGGAACACATCATTTCTCAAGAAAAAGTATCCATAAATTATTATTATATCTGCACTAAATAAGATTTGAAATTTTTACCAAACGAATGCTTTTAACATCTCAAAATAGAATCCGAAACACCAGCATAGATATTAACAACGTTATATCTCTAAAAATTGTAGTTTTAATATTCGAATAAAATAGATAGCCATTGTTGTGAGGCCAGAATCACTAACCCGTCCACAATTACCGCAGTATCAAAAACACCATGCCCGATATGGACCATGTGGTCATCCATGGGGATCACCATGGCTGCAGGATCCTTTGTGATTCCACCAAAAATGCTGGAATACATAGCCAAAATGCACTGCTTGCTTTTGCAGCTTTCTCGATATTTTCTCAAATTTTCAATAGCCTTAATTAGAATACAAACAGTTTTTTCAGTAAATCAAGTTTTTATTGATTTCTAATGCATAAACACTTAACAAAGCAAATAGTCATTTAATACATAAACACCATATTAAATAGACCAATCTACTTCTGTACACTGCAAAAGCATACATTATGTACAGGTTCACACACTCATCTATCAATCAACGTGTAAGCAAGCATTGAAGCATATTTGGTGTTTTTATAAATAAATACACACACACACACACACACACATATATATAATATTTTGTGCATATATATATATATAGAGAGAGAGAGAGAGAGAGAACCTCTGAGTAAGTTAGGAGTGGGAGATCAGATATTTGACTGGAATCTGCCACACCAAAGTTTCACATAGTAAAAAAAAAAAAAAACCAAAATCAACAGCCCTAAGAAAATGAAA